ACAGGGGAAGAGAAGCAAGAACACCAGAGGTGATAAAGACCAGCAAAAGGAAGGAGAAAGAGAAAGGGTAGTTTTATGGTGCCGAGTCACACTGTTGCCTAGGCAAGGTCTGAGAGCAGAGGAGACAGGGTTAGAGCAGGCGCAAGAGTGATGATCAAGGAGAAATCTCAGTGCTCTGGGTGTCACAAGGCAGGAGGGTCACTGCCCGCAAGGTCTGGGAGCTGAGCTGGCAAAACCTGGACAAAGAGAGTGCGAAGGGGGGAAATCTTGACGTTGACTCTCCAGAGAGGCTGTAAACCTGAAGTTATGAAAACAGTGAAGCATGGCAGAGGGCCATGGAGTTATGTCAATTCTCCACAACCGGAGTTTGAATTGTGAACAAAATGTGCTGGGAGTATTGTACCTGCTGCGTAAAATCAATATGTATTTATGGATCAGGTATGTGAGATAAGGGAATGATGGCCAAACATAGATACATAACTGTCTCTTAAAGCCACAGAAGTACCTGTTAGTGACCCGCTGTGCCTCTCTCAGTTTAGTGTGAAGTAATGAGAAAAGGCTGAGGAGCAATGAAAATACTTGAAATGCATTTTCACAGAGATGGTTTCATCTGCTGGACTAGATGGTTGCAGTTGCACAGTAACTAATTTAGGCTTTCTCAGCAGCTCATTCAAGGCTACGAGCTGTTGCTGGACAAGTATTGTGCATAATAAAATGCATTCTGCATTTTATCCCATTTTAGGCATGTCCTGTATCAAACCTAGTTTCTACAATCATCCGTCATCTGCCCTAACTGAACTCCGTGCCCTGAGCTGTGTCTGCATCAGCACAGTCCTGCTGCGTGTTGTCTCAGCACCAGTGGGTGCTATAGCTACGGGTGTATCCCAGCATCTGTTTCCCCTAATCAGCAGGCTGGCTAAAGAGGTAAATAATGAAGGGCTGTAGCCGAGCATGGAACTACTCAAGTGAAGTGCTGCACGGAGCAGCACCCCTCTTGCTCAATCCAGCTCTGAAATTGTTTAGGCTGAAGGGCTCTGCGTGGCTGTGAAATGGTTTCTATCAGGTGCTAATACAAGGAAACACCAAAGAGTTTCTCAGTCAGGAGTCTGTTCTTGAAACTGTTGTTTTGCCACATTGCATTTAAGTGGGTTTGTGCAGTCTTTTAAAACTGAAAGCCAAGTTTAGGTGCAGCCCTCGAGCCAAATCTGTTGATGCAACTTATGCTGAGAGACATTAGTTGTACAGCTGGATCTGAGAACTCTATAAGCTTGTTAAGAGAAAAGGCATTATTTATTGGTACATTTGCGGTCCTGGCATCATCTGTGACCCTCGAAAGGAATCTTTGACATTCAGGTCAAGTCCTTACAACCCAGAAGGATCTCGGAGCTCCCCCTGGTGAGTTCATATACTGTGGCTGAGGGATGCACTCGAGGCGGGGGGCAGGCTGGTGAGCAGTCAGTGCACAGCCGCTCTCAGTAAGGACGTTTTTGGCCAAGCTGTGGGTTAAATCCAGGTCATATTATGTGTTCAGCTAATTTGCTTGTAGTTTCTTTGGCAAGGACCTGGGGATGTGCACACGTGCACAGATTCACATATGCTTTCCATCTCCTCCTGTGTGGAAGCAGGCACCGCTCCTGTTTTTCCTGTGTAGGATCTGTGATCTATTCTGGTAGCTGCACAGTGCAGTAGTGCCTCCAGTAAATATTCACAGATTTCCTTCTAAGCCGATGCTTTTTTTTCTTTCCTCTCTCCTGTGTGGCTACACAAAGGCATGTGTTGTACCTGCTTTACCCTGTGGGATCTACATAATCAGGTCCACGGGTTTTAATGGATTTCAACTCCCTTCTGTCTACGGATACGGTTTCCTGTCTCGTTTTGAGCAGGAAGAGCC